TGGACCTCATGCTGGATAACTAGGGGCAGACTAGAATGTCTTTTGACAAACACTCATGGGGAGTGTGTAAAGAACGACTAATAGAGTATTACAAACAGGCAGCACATGGGTTAAATGCTTATTTAAAGAACAACCCCAGTTTCTTTAAAAGAATGATCTTTTGATAGTTAAATACAACCATTATCAATTTAGCCGATTTTACCTGCAACAGGAGAGCGGAAATGTGCAGTCTTATCTGTCACTCCTGAAAAGAATGTATCTGGGATCACCCCCTCTGCTACATTATGTTCATGGAAAGAGCAGCTTACATATAGAAAAGCAATGAAAGGTGGCATTGCATCATGGGATCTGAGACTGTTTCATCTGATCAGCTGTGATATAGCCACAGTGTTTTCTGACAGTCAGAGGTACAGTATGAGGACACCATAAGAAGCAAATTTAATTGACAGAATAGGTTGCAGTTTTTCTGGCACTAAAATGTTTTATGTGAAGTGACCAGTATATCATTTATACTGGTCAGATACAGAATGCTTTTCAATGCTACACTACACTCAGGAGTTAAACCTTAAAAATTCATTCAAGTACCTTACCTATTAACAAAAATGTATCTATATCCTCAAATCATCTCTGAATTGGTGCTGACACTGTCCTTCCTGCTGGAGGTGGGCTACTTTTGTTCCCCATGTTCCTCGGGTGTGTTATAAAGTAGCCATCGCTCCAAACTCACTCCTGTGATGGACTACAATCTCAATACGAATTAGTAAACTAAACATGAGATTGTAGTCCATCACAGGAGTGACCTTGGAGTGGTGACTACTTTACAACACATACAGGGACCATGGGGAAGAAAAGTAGCCAACCTCCAGTGTCAGCACCAATTCAGAGATGATTTCAGGATCTACAGCTGAGTGATACACAAAAAAAATACAGTTTTGTTAATGGTTAGGGTACTTGAATGTATTTTTAAGATTTACCTACTGAGTATAGCGTTACTTTAAAGAGCCATAAAAGACACTGCAAGCAGCCCTCATGTGAATTGAAATACTGCATACCAAAGGTCAATGATAACATCTGGTAATGCTAGAATTCACAAGATAACTTTACTCTTCCTTACATTTGAAAGGAATCCATTATAACTTCTTCTACACTCCAATACACTTTTAGTTTACAAGCAGAGAGCAAGCCACTGATAAAAAATAACATTTACTATGAAATATAACAAACTTAAAAGTACATACTTTTAAAAGGCATTGCGTGGTTTAATATGGTTTACCTGCAGTGGAGGTAAAAATTATTTGCAGGATGTGGGTCATAGTGATAAGACGGAAGAGGTAGAGATGGTTGTATGCAGAGACCAGGGATGAAGGATGGAGAGTCACACCTTCTTCCCAGTATAAACATGGGAAGGCCAAAACTGACCCTACCTAGTTTAAAGAGAAAAGGAAAAAATTACACATCAAATTAGCAGTAGAACAAAATTCCATATACCACACACGATACAAGCCCTATGAAAATTATACCACACACGATACAAGCCCTATGAAAATTATCCAAAGATTTCCAATCTGTCCGACTGCTTGCTTTTCAATCTGACCTTAGGAAAATTGATGAAAAATGATTAAACTCTGCCTATATATGGTTGTTTCAGGGGGAAAGCAATATATTCCACCCAGAAAGAAATACCAGACACTGGCAAGTTGTTATCCACATATTTGTTACTACCTTTTCTTTTCTGCCTGATGCTCTTCTTTATGAGTAGCTGTATAGGGCAGAATATGCACATAGGTACTGTGAAGTAATGAAATAAAAGAGGCACTTACCAGAAGATGGAATGCATCCACAGACAGAAAGGATGGAGTTCCCTCAAGCTTTAAATTCGGCATAAACACTGTCAGTGAAGATTAAAAAAAGAAGTTAGGGTAAAGTGTTCTAAAACCTAAAATGAGAAATGTTTTTTAACATCTGTTATGAAACTACAAGTATGAATAGAATACATCTGCAAGACTTCTGGCTATACAACTCTAAAACTGGCTATACACTATACAATATTTGAAAACAATGCAAACAGTTAGCAACTTTTGCCTATGTAGCGGCTGCTCTGAAGAGAGACCAATCGCTTAAGTGTTGGAACTGCACGTTCAATATCAGACAAGGCCACCTTTCAATAGCACTGCCAAGTGAACATAATAAACATCTAGGCTGTTAGTGGTGGGTAGGCTGCCTTAATCTGTTCAATACTTTTTGCCATTGAAAGCTGGTTGAAAGTTCTAGAGAAATGCCCTGTATATGATCAGCTTTAGCATGAAAAGATTACATTGTGGAGTTCAAATTCTGATCAGACATTATGGAACTAATAACTAGACACAGTTTCATATTGAACCTTCTTTTCTCAAGCACTGTTTTCTATTAGACTCTTTATCTTCTTTACCCACAGTCTGTCTAATATTTGCTTATTTCATAAATTGGTATCTTAGACTATTCAAGCCTGAAAAGAACATGTTACAGAATGCTTTTGTTTATATACTGTTTCAATTTTTCATTAAGCGAAAAAAGAAGCATAAAACTGCACTTAAAACATACATATTACCTGCCAGTAACTGCACCAGATGGGTCTGTATTGTGGTCTGGTCACTTGTAACTCGTTGTGCCTCAGCAAACTTCACTAAGGCTTTGAGACCAGAGTGCTACAGAAAAGGACAGCCAGACAGTTACATAAGACTAAATCAGAAAATGAAATACCACTTTTATTTCCCAAAACAGAATATAAAATCAGGATAAAACCTATTAGTGTGTCTGATGTAAATATAGACCAGAGCTCCATCCCTTTACTCTGCTTCTAAGGTTCACCTTCTGGGCTGGGACTAAAATATTTCTCCAACCCCTTGTTCCTGTCATTATAATAGAAATGTCCAAAAGAAGTCACTCACACTCCAAGGTCCAATGTGTTGAACGCCTCTTTTATTCAGACATTATGGCACAGTGTAAAAGCAACGTTTTGGGACCGAACATGGTCCCTTCATCAGGCAAACACAGTGATGGTAACTGTGTTTATCTGAAGAGGCCACCTCCTGATCATCCTACTGGTCAATGAGAGCTCCTATCGCATTAAAGGACCAAAATACATTTTTGGAAGGCAAAAGTGAAGCCCATTAAAGGAGAACTATGAGGTGAGTACTTTTCACTCACCTCATAGTTCTAGCCGACCTGTGACAACGAGACTGTCACAGGTCGGCTCAGTAGATCGGGAGGTGAGCGAACACATATCGGGTTCGCTCACCTCTCGATCCTGTCACGGCTCTCTGCCGTGACAGGGAGAGGGGCTGGATTCCCCTCTCCTCACTTCGATCTGCCAGCGCTGACTGGCGGAAAGGACGGGGAAGGGGGCGGGTACAGCTGGCTCTGCCTCCAGATAGCCAGAGCCAGCTGTCACTCACGCAGCTGGGCGGATCCCGTCATCTAAGTCGGGATCCGCTCCGGCTGCGGCGTCTCAGTATACCGCGAGCTGTAGCTCGCGGTATACTGAGCTTAGGGTAACGGGAGGACGATAGTTTGTGTCCTCCCGTTACCCTAAGGAGAACTATGGGGAAAAACACTGACCCCATAGTTCTCCTTTAAACATTGTTGATAGTGCTGTGTAACACCATTGGTGGCCTTTAGCAAACCTGATACAGGGAGCAATTTGTTGAGATGACAGTGGATTTCTCATTTGTAACCTCTCATGAGCCCCACTCATGCTTAATATTTTTCTTTCAACAGACAACAATAGATCCTTTCCTGACACCCTAGAGGTCTGTAACAGTTTCTGGGCTGTATGTTATTCCCTTGCACTCATCTTTGTTGGACCCCAATCGGGAGAATTTTGCTAAATGTCCTCCATTTGTAACTACTATAACTAGGGAAAGCTGCAGGTCAAAGCCATTAGAAGTATATTGCAGCCTTCTGTCTAGTAAACTTCAGCAATACTTTTGGCCTCTTCTGAAATAATTTTGATTGGGGAATACTGCACATCCGCTTAATTCCATTGGGAAGAGTTGGGTTTTAAAACTGTTATTTTTTTTTTTATATGACAGGTCAGGTACAAGCCACACCCGAACTGACTGGAATAACTAAATCCGAAAACCCTCTTTGTAAGATGTATTAGTCCTATAGGTTCAGATGCCGTTTCTATCAGTGACCTTCATTTTTTAACTTCTTCAATAAAGATACACCAGTCTTACATATTGTGAATGTTTAATGATACTTCTTTAATTTATTAGACAAGAGATACAGATCAGATCAAAGTTTAGGAGCCATTCACATAAAAATAGGGAAAAATTCACAATCTTCTTCTAAAACTGTATATTGTGAACTAAGCTATACCAGGAGAACAGCATGGAACAGATCATCAATAGTGGAATCCATGGCATTAAGCCCATACCTGATGTAGAGGTTAGTAAAATCAGCATCAGCTCATCCACAGATTGTGGTTATTATTATTATTATAATACAGGATTTATATAGCGCCAACAGTTTGCACAGCGCTTTACAATAAAAGGAAAACATTACAATAACAATACAATTCAAGACAAGATGGTAAGGAGGGCCCTGCCCGTGAGGGCTGGTTAATACAGTACAGAGGCCATGATACAAGGAATCTAATGCACAGCTATCACCCGTGGCTCTAGTTATAAGAGGTAATAATATAAAGCAGCACAGTCTAAGCCAAGGTCGAGATAATGCTCTTAAGCGTCAGAAAGCATTGAGAACCTGCCGTCTAACATTTAATCACTTGACCCTGTCCTCTGACCTTCTTACCTGACGATTCTGCAAAGACCCAAACAAAGACTTGTCTTCATCTTGAAGTAAATTCTCTGAAACAAAACAAGGCTTGTTATAGACATGACTGATACTCTATGTGACTGTGCAAATTGTATGCATTTCTGTGAATGGATAACTGGAAATCAGCCTTACCAAGGCACTGAATTGTATATGCACACGTATTCCATGTCATCATAGGCAGACGTGGGTCAGTTTCATTTGGTGGAACATTCAGGCCTACTCGGTACACAGTGGTGGCAAAGTGGACCAGCATTTCTTTTGTGCTGGCAGAATAATTTGGCCTAGTTTATAAAGAATTACCGTTAGTTATGGTTTCCTTTGCCCATGAAAGGTAAAGTGCCTAGCACATTTTAAAAATAGCCACTACCACTACTCAGAAATACATATTCAAACATGTTTTTATTCATGTTGCAACACTAAGCCATTTTAGATAGATATCTATAACGTTTCTTCTGACAAGAAAAGCGAAACAGGAGAAGGCCTGAAAACATTTAGGGCTGATGCATGAAATGTAAACTATAAGTAAAATGTCTTCTCATCCATGCTTCCAATGGTATATCAGCGTTAACCTGTCATTTTTCTTGTCCAGTTTTTAAACCAAACAAAGTCCTTGGTTGTAACAAGAAGTTTTCCTAATGGCATACTATTCATATATTGGCCCCTGAAGTGATCTGCCTGCATTATTCTCTCTGGCTCCACACTTGTGGTTTGCAGTAACATGCAGTAAAACGCAAAATTAATGCAAATGACCAAAATGCACTGTACTTCCAACAAAGCCACACACACGTCTCACCATGTCCACTTTTTTAATTTCTTTATCATGCACACCAATGGACAAATGTTATCAAACCTGACCAATGTCAATATATACTGTACCAGGTCAGCTTTGACCACAGCTCATATATACAGTAAGAAACTGTATATATGAGCTGTGGCATAAGAATATTAGTGAGTGGGACTGACTGATCTTCACTGCTGAATAAATATAGTTTGAATTGCTAAGTAACACCTTAGTGTGTTAGTCATTTTTACGAGACAAATAATCTGAAATCACTACAGAACCATAAAACTAACAGCGTCTTTACCATTGGCCATTGGGGCTCAGCAACTACCTAGCAAACAAATGCCTCTGCTGGGTTATCTTGTTGAATACTCACGGAGCTTGTACCCCAAAGCTGAGAATGGAGCGAAACTCATGGCTTTGATTTTCTCCAGTGTTCAAGAATTCAGGTGATATGGATTTATCTCCTATCAGAAAGTAATGAATAGAAAGTCAGCAATTTGACTCCCGCCCCCATTGTACAAAAGCCTTCAACTACATGAGTGAAAAAGTTATTGGCTGCACTGCTTAACCATATATAGCCATAATATTTTTCAGAGTAAGAAGGGGTTGAAACCTGAATCTGTTATTTTTTTGCTGTCTGTGATACATTCAGGAGATTTCCTCTCTTTTCCTGCCCCAAACAAGCAACAAGAACTGTTGACAACTGAAATATTGAGAAATTCACATCACTTTCTTTCTATGTGACAGTGATCACAAGGACAAATATGGAGGCTGAAACTACCCTCAGGGAATCGATACAGCAAAAAAGAAAAAAAATTGACAAGGGTGCTAACCTTTCCACGCTTTATCCGAAACTGAAAACACAAACACTCTTGTCCTTGTATACTCCTTAAGGACCAGGGCAGTTTACATTTTAGCTATGGACCTAATGATCTGGCACAAACTTCTTTACTTATGAAACCAAAGTACTACATAGGACAAACAGCTTTCTTCCTTTTTATTGTCTTGTAAAAAGTATTTTATATTATATTTATCCTAATTCTAAAGATCTAAAGACAAAAAAATTTAGCAAAAAGGTAAATATATGTTTTTTTCATGTTTGACCAGTGTTTGTTTTAACTCTAGTAGTCTAGGTTTACATAACTAACTGCTTGCTGTGTAGAAGACATCCATTAAGAATGAGGAAGTCAATACTCAAAGACCAGCTGAGTAAAGAAAAGCTTCTGGACCACAAATGGTGCACGGTGATGGTTGTCTGACCAAATTACTGCAGGCATAGGCCAAACAGATCCCTGTCTCTTGTGTGCAGAGCTGTGAAGGTGTGTGGGGAGCTGCCCCTGAAGAGGTTACCACAGGTGAAAGCCGCGGGAAAAGCAAGGTGTTTGATTCACGCACGCTCATCCTAGCTCCACTGTCTATGCTAGCGAAAGAAGACGCTGGCAGGAAAATTAAATTGTAGTTTGGGCAGTTACAATACCTGGTCACCAGAACAAATGTAAATACAGTAATACCTTGGTTTACGAGCATAATTCGTTCCGGAAGCATGCTTGTAATCCAAAGCGCTTGTATATCAAAGCGAATTTCCCCATAGGAAATAATGGAAATTCAGATGATTCGTTCCACAACCCAAAAATATTCATATAAAAATGATTATAATACTGTACAAAATATAATACTGTACAAAATATAAAGAAAAATAAACCAAATACCGGTACCTTTGTGGCTGGTGTGAGGGGGACAAGAGAGAGGAGGATTATTGTGTAGGACGACTTTCACTATCACTAACGGAATCATTACTATCTCTTGACTCAATGGAATCTTTTTCATTTCGTGAAACCTTAACAAGGAATCTATCCAATGTGACATTGCGTTGTTGTTAAACAGACTCATTGCTCGCACTGCTACAGCCTTATTCGGGTGGTGCTTTTCTACAAAATTTTGCTCTTATTGCAAGACATTGCTTGTATATCAAGGCAACATTTTTCAGAAATGTTTGCTTGTCTTGCAAAACACTCTCAAACCAAGTTACTTGTAAACCAAGGTATTACTGTAACAGAACCATAAAACTAACAGCGTCTTTACCATTGGCCATTGGGGCTCAGCAACTACCTAGCAAACAAATGCCTCTGCTGGGTTATCTTGTTGAATACTCACGGAGCTTGTACCCCAAAGCTGAGAATGGAGCGAAACTCATGGCTTTGATTTTCTCCAGTGTTCAAGAATTCAGGTGATATGGATTTATCTCCTATCAGAAAGTAATGAATAGAAAGTCAGCAATTTGACTCCCGCCCCCATTGTACAAAAGCCTTCAACTACATGAGTGAAAAAGTTATTGGCTGCACTGCTTAACCATATATAGCCATAATATTTTTCAGAGTAAGAAGGGGTTGAAACCTGAATCTGTTATTTTTTTGCTGTCTGTGATACATTCAGGAGATTTCCTCTCTTTTCCTGCCCCAAACAAGCAACAAGAACTGTTGACAACTGAAATATTGAGAAATTCACATCACTTTCTTTCTATGTGACAGTGATCACAAGGACAAATATGGAGGCTGAAACTACCCTCAGGGAATCGATACAGCAAAAAAGAAAAAAAATTGACAAGGGTGCTAACCTTTCCACGCTTTATCCGAAACTGAAAACACAAACACTCTTGTCCTTGTATACTCCTTAAGGACCAGGGCAGTTTACATTTTAGCTATGGACCTAATGATCTGGCACAAACTTCTTTACTTATGAAACCAAAGTACTACATAGGACAAACAGCTTTCTTCCTTTTTATTGTCTTGTAAAAAGTATTTTATATTATATTTATCCTAATTCTAAAGATCTAAAGACAAAAAAATTTAGCAAAAAGGTAAATATATGTTTTTTTCATGTTTGACCAGTGTTTGTTTTAACTCTAGTAGTCTAGGTTTACATAACTAACTGCTTGCTGTGTAGAAGACATCCATTAAGAATGAGGAAGTCAATACTCAAAGACCAGCTGAGTAAAGAAAAGCTTCTGGACCACAAATGGTGCACGGTGATGGTTGTCTGACCAAATTACTGCAGGCATAGGCCAAACAGATCCCTGTCTCTTGTGTGCAGAGCTGTGAAGGTGTGTGGGGAGCTGCCCCTGAAGAGGTTACCACAGGTGAAAGCCGCGGGAAAAGCAAGGTGTTTGATTCACGCACGCTCATCCTAGCTCCACTGTCTATGCTAGCGAAAGAAGACGCTGGCAGGAAAATTAAATTGTAGTTTGGGCAGTTACAATACCTGGTCACCAGAACAAATGTAAATACAGTAATACCTTGGTTTACGAGCATAATTCGTTCCGGAAGCATGCTTGTAATCCAAAGCGCTTGTATATCAAAGCGAATTTCCCCATAGGAAATAATGGAAATTCAGATGATTCGTTCCACAACCCAAAAATATTCATATAAAAATGATTATAATACTGTACAAAATATAATACTGTACAAAATATAAAGAAAAATAAACCAAATACCGGTACCTTTGTGGCTGGTGTGAGGGGGACAAGAGAGAGGAGGATTATTGTGTAGGACGACTTTCACTATCACTAACGGAATCATTACTATCTCTTGACTCAATGGAATCTTTTTCATTTCGTGAAACCTTAACAAGGAATCTATCCAATGTGACATTGCGTTGTTGTTAAACAGACTCATTGCTCGCACTGCTACAGCCTTATTCGGGTGGTGCTTTTCTACAAAATTTTGCTCTTATTGCAAGACATTGCTTGTATATCAAGGCAACATTTTTCAGAAATGTTTGCTTGTCTTGCAAAACACTCTCAAACCAAGTTACTTGTAAACCAAGGTATTACTGTAATATGCTCTGCAAAAACAAAAAGGAGGGTTCACCCCATCTGCAAAATACTGCACCCTGCTGCAATGTCGATGAAAGCACAGGCTGAAAGTACACACGTGCCACCCCCAATACGGTGTCCAAGCAACTGCAGCCGCTCTTGTAACAAAACACACACAGCCTAGGAAAAACACAGCAGAAAGAATCCATGACACAATATAAAGCCTTCTTCAGCCACTTACAATTAGGCAAGCACTGCCACAGCTCTGGTCCCAATAACTCAAGAGGTACTGGCCTGACATTAAAGAGGAACTTTACCCAAATCTTTAAAATAACAAACAGAGCTTTAGAAATGTTTAGTAATGACAATCTACATACAGGTACTTCTAGATAATTGTAGGCTTTGTATTGTATGCATACCTTATTTCTTTGTTTCTTTCCCAGTCTCCTGACAGTGGCCATTTTAACTAAGGGCAGATTACTAGATCTCCCTTTATTTCTTGGAACTCTGACAATTGTGACTAGGACATGTGACCATGCACATCATCTCAGGTGAGGAAAATTCCTTTCCCTGAGATCTCATGACATTACAGATGAGATTTCCCAGCAATGCTATGCTGATGTAATCTTCCCAGGAAGCAACACTTGGGCACATTACATCATTTGTGCCAAAACTGGACCTGGAAATGGATAAACTATTTGTAAATAAATAAAAAATATGTTGTTTTTTTTACTAATGAATGTAATATAATTCTAAATCAGCATGCAGAGCTGCATGCTGATGTGATTTTTAGTGAAAGGGGGTAAAGGGTTGCTTTAACAGCGGAGTCTTGTGCTAGCTGGAACACAGATGGTGGTGTAACTGCCGAAAGCAGGACTATTACAGAGAGAGCTTCAGTACACATAATGACCTGGAAAAGGCTGCACTCATTGGCTTACTAGACAGACTTTCAGAATGTACAATATCCAGCCTAAATCTACCAGTAGCTGTTGACGGTACAAGAAAAATTTGATTTATGCAAATTAAAAAAAAAAAATAGCAGAAGGGAAGGAAACATCCATTCTCCTGGAGTATGCTAAAACTGGGCAAGATTAGTGTCGAAGGGTATAATCTTTAAGGGGCTGGCCTCCATTTTGTTATGTGCCTTGTGTCTATTTCTCCTGTGACCCTCAATGGACAATAGAGAAAATGGCACAGATCACCTGCGGAGCTGATCTGTGTCTCACTGTTTACATGTGTTTTTACCTTTTGCTGCTGTGGGTCTGCTGGCACCTGTGGTTCCACAAGCATGTGCTCTCCTCTTGCTGCACTGTGCTATCAGCTAGGGGTAATATACCTTCCTCCCTGCTACTTCCTGTCCTGCCTCCTAGCCCTTTTCTTATTTAAATCCTGTGCAGACTTGATTCTGGTTGCTTGAGCAACACTTGTTCCCGAGCTCCTTCTGTGCGTTTGTTCCTGACCCGGCTGCCTGTGGACTGATCTCTCGTGTACCGACTTGACCTAGTTCTCCTAATTACGTTTGTCTGCTGCCCGCACTGACCTTTGGCTTGTTATCCGGATCTCCTTTTGCTCCATCCATCCCTACCTGCACTCTGTCCTTTGTCTTCGTGTACTCTCCACATGAGCAGGGTGAACCCAGGGGTCGTGACCAGGGGTCAACAAACAGCTAAGTCCAAACTTCCGTGAGGGGATCCCCAGGCAGAACACCGGCTGGCCCTTAGATTCCACGCCCTGGGGGATCCCGTGTCACCTGCTCACCTGTGGGCACACATCCCTACTACCGTGAAAGAAAAATCATGTGCTATGTGAAAACGCACAATTTTTTTCCCTTTAAATAAAACCGTGTGTACTTGTAAAGAACAAACTGCCATTTCTTCCCTTCAAAAGAGGAAAAGGAAATGTTATATGAAGTCAATTAACTTAATATACATTGAAAGAATAGAAAAACCTTTAGGGAGTTTTAGATTGCATCCTGATATTCTGGTTGCCACAACGTCCAGCCAGCATGAAAGGGACAATACTTGTCTCAGGGCTTCAGCATCAGCACTGTAGAGAAGATTATAAATTGAATGTACATGCAAATGAAATGAGAATTTAGCATTACAAAATAATCTTTTTATAGATAAAATAGGCATGAATTAATTAATTATCCTTTAGGCTTTATTAAAATAGGAAATCAACAGCAGTAAAAACTGATCATGGGAATTTCTGAAATAAGGGGACTTTGCCTTGTGTTTGAGAACATTAAAGTGTATTTTAAGTGAAACCTTATCCTTGAGAACATAAGCTTGAATTATGGTCTTTATGAGCCACTTAGAGATAGTGGAACAATAAGCTGCAGCACCCATATGGGGTCCATCCGGGAAAGTAAAAAGAGATTGTGTTCCTGAAAGAAGCAGTGGCTAAGAGATAGACTCTCATAGTCTGCACCACATCTACCAATGGAAGGAAATTTGCTTTTGGTGAACTGAAGCAGGACAGGAGAACAATGTCTTTGCTAAAGTGAAAGGCAGAAACTACCTAAAGCTGGCCATACCCTAGAAGATTTCTCAATGAGCGTTTGTACGAAAGATCTTTCTTTACCACCCGATAATGCCATCAGACACTTGACGAATATCAAACGAAATGTTGTGCTTTTAATGTTGGATTTTTAAATGAATGGAGTTTCCCGAATTAAAACTACATTTGTCGGAAAAAAAATTCCACCCTGCTCCTTGGAATTTTTTTCATCACTATGGTCGAAATCGATTGTGAATTTGACCCCATCAACTAATAGAAAGCTGAACGAACGTTCTTTCGTATGAAAGTTCTTTTGAAAATCTAAGCAGTGTATGGCCAGCTTAAGGCAAAAACAAATCTTCAACACCACCTAGTCCCTATGCCAAACCAAAAATGGGTTTCCTAAAGGATAAAGACTCTGGTTCAGACACTTGCCACAAACAGGGAGAGAAGAAAAAAGAAAGTGTCTAATGGGTTCAAACTGCAGTTTCTGAAGCACAGAGAGTACTAAATTCGGACCCCATGGAGTCACAGGGGAAGGGACAAGTGAAGCTACATGGCAGACCCCGGTATAAAGATATTAATACATATAACAGATATTAACAGTGAACGGCCAACGGTCTCCAAAACAAAATTGGAGAGGCAGAAACCGGACTCTTGATAGTGCTGAGAGCCAGAAGCTGGTCCAGACCTAGCTGCAAGAAGTAGAGAATCCGTCCCACGCAGAAACTCTTGAGGTGGAAGCCTCAAGACTCACACCAAGTGGAGTATGACTTCCATGTTGGAGGACAGTATATACAAGAAGTGGATTTCCTAGCTTTTTAGAATCATAGGAATCAAAGACTCAGATAGCCCTGTCCCTCAAAACCTGGGCTTCCACAACCATCCCGTTAAAGTAACTGGCCGCAAAGCAGGATGGCAATTCAGACCCTAACAATACAGTACAGCCCACAGAAATTCTGCTGGGAGTCTTACCAGGTGGACATACCACATCCATCTGGGCCAGTCCAGAGCAATAAGGGTCACTAGAATGCCCACCAGCTCGATCCAGCAATGCAGGCCATAAAAAAAGTTTAAAAGGAAAGAAAGGCATAGATCAGGGTGTACTGATCCCAACTGAGAAACCAGAGCATCCACTGCTTTTTCGCTAGCGGATTCCTTTACCTGGAGACAAACATGTCCAATTTAGGATGAAGGGAAGGGCAAGCCCTCCAGCAAGTGCAAAGCTCTTGAAAATACTTCCAACAGCTTATTAGTTGGGTCCTTTAACCTCCCGGGCGGTATGACTATCTCAGTATTTTTTCTATTTTCTACTTTTGAATTTCTCGCCGGTTCTGCCCCCCCTGCAATGCCGGCGCTCGCTGGGAAGGAACCCGGAAGACGCCTGAGTGTGGCTCGGGGGGTTACCGCTTTTGGTACGGAAAATTTACCCCCGAGCCACACTCGGGATTACCGCCAGGAATGTTAAGACAAGTGTAAGTAAGTGCGCTATTGTTTACACCATGTCCAGACCAGATCTCAATAAGTTTCTGCAAACGCGCTGCAGTGCGTTTTTGGCACGTCTGTGATGCGCTTTTGACACTTTCCAATGCATGTTTTTAGCTTAAAATGGGCTTTCAGGTGCACACCAGTGCGCCATGTGTTTACAAGCGTTTTGATGCATTTCAGACCAGAGAACGTAGTGCAGGCAGCATTTTTACTCCCCGCACCTGAACAGACTGTACTTGTGTGAACAGAGCCCAGAAATATCGTAGGAATACATTGAGATGCATTTCAGATGCAGACAAAATTAAATATTCTGGTCTGGACATGGTGTAAAAAATCCTCTCTTAACGTATAGAATGCTCATAACTAAGCCACCAGATCTTCCACTGCTTCCCTTCAAACTCCAGTCCTCCCACTGTGGTGAACCTACAAATCCCATCATGCTTCTGACTCCAAAAGTCATGCCTGTGGATGTCAGAATCTCGCAATGCCTAATGGGATTTGTAGTTGGAGGGCTAGAGTTTGCCTATACCTGTGCCCTGACCCACCCCCCACCCCCCCAGGATGGAATCAGACATGTTGGGACCACGTGGTGATAAGGTAGTGCAATGCTTATGGAAAGAAGCAAGGTTGGATGGCCGGAGGTGATCAAAGCCACTGTAGGCGGGCAGCAAGGACAGATCAAAGTTCTACATGGCTCTTTACAAGGACAAGCAGCAGGAAGATGCCTTCGCGACCGATATGGTGAAAAATAGAGCTCAGGACACACGTGTGACACTTCACCCAGCAGGTAACATCAGCATTTACTCCCCAGTGGTAATCCCTCCCACTTCCACATCGGTGGGAATGGGGAATAAAGGCATCCAGCGACCTAAGCAATTGAGGTAGCTCTAGATGCTCGGCCCAAGCAATACTCAGACAAGTGAGTCTTCAGATACAGCGCAGGCTCTGAGTCTTGACTGAAGAAAAAGAAGAAGAGGAAAAAAAAATTGTTTACAAAAAAAACAAAAAAGGAGTATGTCTTAACACAGCAGAGCTGTAGAAAAGACGTCTATTGTCTCAGGACACTAGCAAAGAAGACATGCAGGTAGTTGGAGGGGTTCAAAATATAAATAGTTTGTTCTTGGGTGTAGAACTTTTAGCATTATGTTTCATGGTTAGATTAAGGGTTAGTTTAGGGGTCTATTTATAACTCTTCCACCCAGGCATACACTGGACAAATGCTGTTCGCTTGGCATTCCCTCCACTAGATGGAGCCAAAAGCAATGAAAATTGCTATGCTCCTTGACTCCATCTAGAGGTGGGAATGTCGTGCAAATCGCTTTTACTCAGCGTATGGCTGGACGGAAGCGCTCTAAGTAGACCCTCTTAGAGTATTAGTTAAGATTTATGCTGTGGGTGTGTATGGGGTGTTTACATGTAATGGGTAGCCTAAGGATCAAGCTAAGGTAAGGGGTCAAGGCAATACTTTTGTTTTTGCACTTATTTTTAGCAATTAAACCCCCATGATGAGAATTTCGGTCTAAAACAAACTATTACAAAACCTAAAACTCCATCCACAAGTTTCATATTACCTGTTCACTTGCTGTGCTACAATGGGGATGATAGGAATAACAGTGTTGCAGTGGCATTTGCACAAAGGACACAAATACTCTCCATTTCCCAGATCATAGATCAGATCCATATGAAGTCTCTGACGGTTATTTGCCTGCATGGCTTCAAAGAACCTAGGGACACCAAAGAATAACATTAGGAAAAAAACAGTGCCAGTATGGTGTAAAGACTACTTACTATATCTTAGAAGCAAACATCAGTATTTGAGTAAACAGAAAAGTTACCTACAGACTTCCATCTGCAGGAGCTTGAGTAATATGTATTTTTCCAGTTCTAGGATGGAGAGGGGTTACAACCGCTGTCAGTTTTTTAACTGCTGTCTGTGCCCTTGCTAGGAAGCTTTACCCTCTCTATTTACACTGGTGACAATAAAATCCAAAATTTTGAGTTCTATAAAGAACAGAAATACGGTGGAAAATTTTCCAATGGGGACACTTATACCAGTAACAGCTGTCTAAGGGAATTTTCCTCACTTTGTAGAGATTGTCTCTCACTTCCTGTTGTTTACAATACAAGATGTGAGAGGATATTTCATTTTTTTAAATCATTTTGGATAAAGCAGTGCCTATGTCCTATTTATTATTATTAGGGATGCGCCGATATATAGGCCAGAAATGGCACTTTTGGCAAAATGCTGGAAGTGCCATTTTCTGGCCGATATAGCGGTGCATCCCTAATAATAGCTGTGAGCGGCCGGCGTCTCTCCTCCCCGCACCGCTCAGCCTCCTGTCACAGATCGGGAGATCGGTGTGTGGGCGGAGACAGCTTGTCAGATTGAGCTCTCCTACCCGCTCTGCTCGCTCAGCCTGGATGGAGAGCGAGTACAAGCAGTCAGTGATCGCTGAGTGTTTGTAAATAATTGAGGACATAGTATGTTTACTATATCCTCAATTATGAATGAATGAAAGTGATCTACATCGTCTCCTGTTCATTCATAATTGTGGTTATAGTAAACACACTCTGTCCTCATGTTATGAATGAACAGGAACACTCTGTATAGAGGATTCCTGTTCATTGATAACAGGGGCTGCAGAAAAAGAGACTGAGGACTCTATGTCTTCAATCTCTTTTTCTATTTTAAAAGGGAAATATCAGGGGTCTGTTTAGACCCCCAATATTTCCCTGAAGCCCCTAAATGTAAAGTATAAAATAAAATTATTTAATAAAAATGAATAAAAATATGAAAAAAATAAAGTTTATAAAAAGAATATATATATTTTTTAAAATTTGAAAAAGTTAGAAAAAAAACATTTTCCGTTTCAGCCTGACATTTTTTTCATTTCGGTTTCGTTTTTGAAATTTTCATTTCGGTGCACCTCTAGTTATTATTATTATTATTATACAGGATTTTTATAGAGCCAATAGTTTGCGCAGCACTTTACAATATAAGGAAGACATTACAATCACAATACAATTCAAGACAAGATGGTAAGGAGGGCCCTGCCCGTGAGGGCTTACAATCTTTTATCCAAAATGATAAAAAAGTTTAGGTTTTTGAAATACTTTAACAGCAGAACATGGGGTGAAGTGAAGTGAAAATTCTCAAAGAATACCTAATTATAAGCAAATAACATGAACAAAAACAGGACTGGGTGATTGAAGCACAACTTCACCCCATTCACTAAGCTAAGTAAAGTAAACATGTTCTACTGGAAAATTGACATCACTGTCTGTCTAAGACATCTGACACTGAAAACAATAGGCTAATATCTTATCTCAAAAGAAGAACTCCAGGCAGGAATATTTTTAACCCTTGCAGTGGGGCTACCCCCACTACCCCCGTGCTACAAGGGGTAACTGCTCGTTTTTGCCTAAAGAAAAGTTAGACACAACCGAACTTTGGAGCTGGCAGGGCTACCTCCAGCCTGTCCCTCCTCCACTGCAGAGATGGCATGTTCCTCGGATGTCCAACACACTGTAATGAACATGATGACTCGAGGATTCCTAGACTGCTGCAGAGGAGGGGAGAGATGCTCTAGGAACCAGTCCAACAGCCCGCCAGCTCTTGGACTGGTTCAGGCGGGTATAACTTTTCTTTTCTTTTTTTTACCCTAGGCAAAAATGAGCAGCTAACTCTTGCAGTGCGGGGGTAGCCCCCCTTGCAAGGCTTAATAACATTTCTGCCCCGAGTTCTTCTTTAAGTGTATGTAAACCCTAACAATGAACAACTCTTATTTGCTCCCTTTTTTCCTGCTTAATATAACATTGAAAGTGCTTCATAAGATTTGAGTGGGAAATAAAGGCAAAATTCTTTTAGCCCACAGCAATTAGGAATGCACACTTAACAAATGGGTGCATTTTTGCCAGAATCAACGTGTACTGTTCTTTACTTGCAGGGTGTTTAAAGATAGAAGACACAGGAAGGAAATGTGCATATATTGCAAAGATGTACCACCCCCATTGTTTTGTTGTTTTTGTTTAGCCTTTTTATAATTTTACCCTAACAAATACTTTAATCTGTTAGGCAGAGTCATGATAGAAGCTAATTTACCCTGACTCAAATGGAATCTGCAAATTGCACTCATAAAATTAAAAAATTAAGTGTATATATATAGATCTATATAGATCTATATAGATCTATATATATATAAAATCACAGCTCTAATTTCATGTAAACTCTGCATTAAAAATTCATATATATTCATGCTCTCATTCTCTGCTTCTAAAGCTAATGAGACAAAAAAACTAAAAAAAAATGACAGGGGCTTTAGCCATTGCCTACACTATTTAAAACAGTTTTGCCTTTAGAAATAATTTAAAGAACTCCCCAAATTGGTAGCCAAAACCCTGATATCAACACTGAGATCTTGACACCGATTAGATAAATTATAGAATTTTTTGTCATTTGATTTCCTCAAAGCATCTATCATAATAGGCCCACTAGGGTAACCACATCTTGCCAATCACTTACTTTTGCCAGCAGGTCACATGCATTACATGACCACAACTTCCTGTAAAGGTTCCAGCAGACAACTCAAGACTTGTAAAAAGTGGATCAAATGTTTCTTTAAAAGAAGAACAAAGAAACAATCAAATGAGCTGTATCAAATAAATATGTTAATGTCAATTACACACACAGTGGAATAAAAGGACAGGTAGTCAGTGGCATTTTCGCAACATACAGAAGTGGACAAATTTGTTGGGACCCTTCCATGAAAGAAAAGGAACCCCTAATTTCCTCCTAAATAATTTGAAACTGACCAAAGTAATTGGCATCCGCCATTGTTTATTCCATGTTTATTAAAAGGACTTTGTATTTGATTTTTAATTCAGCCAAATAATTTAAATATTAAAACAAGTAAAAATGTAATGGAGAAAAATGATGGCACCCTTAATTTATTATTTTGTTGGACAACCTTTAGCCCTCTCATTCACACCTTAGCATTTTGCTGTGTGTTTGCTAAACGGCAACAATGCTGAACATGAAGAATCACATTATTTTCAATGGTGCCTGTTTACACCTGAGCGTTGTGTCACTTGTAGCTGGAAGGTTGAAAAAGTGTATGAGCTTTTTATCATGCATTTTTGACCCAACAGACTTCAATAGGAGCACCCAAAAAATGCCTCAACAATGCACATTTGTGTGTGATTTTGTGGCTGACAATGGTTTCTCCCTCTTAGTAAGTGGCATTCCATTGGCTAAAAACAAATGCTAAATCCTAAAAAGTCCTGAAAAATGTGCTTAAAAAAAAGGGGCAAAACAATGTTCACGCTCATGTGTAATTGGGGGAAAACAAGGGAGCTGTCAATGAGACCTTTGCACCTGCCACCAGGTATTTTTGCCCACACTTCTTGGGAAAACTGCTCCACCTGCCTCAGGTTTGAAGGTTGCCTTCTCCAGACTGCACTTTTCAGCTCTTTCCATAGAAGTTTGATAGGATTCAGATCAGGGTTTATAGAAGGCAACTTCAGAACACACCAATGTTTTGTTCTTAGCCATTCTTGGGTGCTTCTAGCTGTTTGTTTTGGGTCATTAAACTGTTGGGGGTCCCATAACCTGCAACTAGAACAGAGCAGTCTTGAAGTTTCATTGTGCCCAACATAGACCCCGTGCCAGATGCAGCAAAGCAGCCCCAAGACATATCTGAGCCTCCTTCATGTTTCACAGGAGGTATGGTGTTCTTTTCTTTGAAAGTTTTTTGTTTTCATCAGAAGGGACTCGCCAAAAAGCTCCAGTTTTTTTCATCTGTCCAAAGGACATTCCTCCAGAAGATTTCTTACTGGTTAATATGCATTTTAGTAAATCCCAGTCTGACTTTTTTTTTTTATAGCTTTCTTTAAATAGTGGAGTCCCCCTGAGTCTTCTTCCTTCCTTTGAGCCCACTTAAAAAAGTGACAGAGAGTATGAACAGACACTGTCACAATGTCTGAGGAGTGCAGGAATGAAGAATTGTTTCAATGAGTTGTAGCCAACAAATTTGTCAACATCTTATCTCTATACTTTTACAGTATATTTAGGTAAAAAGTGCAGATAAAATAGTATTCTGAACATGTTTAATTTCAGTTACTTTTTTGTGTTTAACTCTGCTGGGATCTCTTCCTGGGCAGCATGCTACACAGCATGCTACACATAAGGTTTCAGACCGGTGATCTCTCTTCAGTGGTCCGGTGCATGCCTATTAAATCAGAGCTAGAGCTCTCCAATCAGCAGGGGGCATGTGCATTTTTGATTGGAGAGTGCTAGTTCTAACTTGCAGGGGGCACATCAGAACTCTGCACATAGGCCGCTGCTCTCATACAGAGCACATTCCTTCTCTGCAGCATGCTGCCTAGATAAAAAATGTTGTGCTGCCATGGCAGCCACTATTCAGTGTTGCAGATCTACAGCTGTTAGGGTCTTCCAATTGTTAAAAGGACCATAACCCTGCTGGTGGCCATCCAGCAAATACATACCACCAGAGTGGATGACTGCTGTTCCTCGGTTCTGGCATAAGGTGGTAGATTTCTGTACACAGGCAGTTAATACCATTGTGGATTTGTCCAGTCTGACTTCTTGTTCCTCTTGGCACAGGATGCAAGTCAACGCTTCTTTTTCTGGTATAGATGGGCCACGATTAGGACCTAGGGCAATCTTAGAGCCTTCAGCTGTCAGTGAGCTAAAACAGAATACATAGCCATTATAGGTTTCCAGTTGCTGGATCCATAGTACCCAGCCAAAGCTAGTTTACTAAATGAAGAAATTCAGGTAAATACGAAAAACCTTTCTCTAGTTATATATTCATTAGGGCATTAAAAGTATTGGAAATACAGTTAGCAGAAATACTACTTTTATATTAGCCTCCTGTGGTCTTCAGCACAGCAGCACTGTGACTGGGAGGCTCACCAGTAAGTAACAGCTCTTTTGCTTTGTACAGTGCTATAAGTCTAGCATTGTGAACATTCGTACGAGGCTAGCAGAGGGATAACTTCATCAGTGAACTGCTGCTTCTACACTGTGTATTCAAATGTTTGAAAAAGGAGCGGTAACTTTATTAGTCAGTCTTCTTTCCATCATTGCCTATGAAATGGGTGCCATTACTGTGCTTCAGGGTAGAAAAGGTACTATGCAGCTCTAAGCAAGGCATATAACTGAAATTCAGAGTGATGTGAGCCAACTTCTGTCTCTGGCAACAATATCATAAATTCACTAGATCACAGATCAGGTGAAAAAAAACAGGTGAAGTCTTTGTTTGATGTAGTACCCTGGTACTGTCTAAGGAATGGCTAAACATAGAATTTTTAGTGACATTAGACAAATATTCACTTTGATAATACACGAATAGCTTACAACTCTTCAGTTGGAGTGGAGGTGCCTGGCACTTCCTGAGTGGTGTCATATAGCAGCTTGTTTGTTTCGATAAAGTTTTTTTGCAGAGCAGTCATCTGGTCCATGATCTTCTTCCGGTGTAGTCTTGCTGCCTCTGCTTTGCGTTTCCTCTTTTCCTTCTCTTGTGGGCTCTGTATCTTCCAGAACAGAAAATGGAGATATTGTGGACACAGCAGTGTAGGTGCATAATAATACGATCTTTTATTAATGCTGTATCTGTAAAAAATAAGTCAAGGCAACTGGATTTGCTGTATTTTTTTTTTACAGCAAGTTCAGTTGCCTTGACTTATTTTTTTACAGATATACCATGACCTCAGGGGCGTAACTAGAAATCAGAGGGCCCCATTGCAAAATTATCTATGGGGCCCCTACGATTTCTAGTTACACCCCTTGCAGAGCACCCCTGAGATCCCACACAGCCCACCTGAGGGTGACCCTGCAGAGCCCACCACAGACTCTCTATGATGGGCTCTGCCGGGTCTCAGGTGGGCTGGGCACACTCCTTACCTGTCCACCTCCTCTTCCTCCACGGTCGCTGATGGGCCCCGTCTCCTCCTCCGTCACCGGGGCCCGCCTCCTCCTCTGCTGCCGACCCGGGCCCCTCCTCCTCCTCCACCTGCCGCCGGTGGCTCTCACTGACTCAGCAGCGGCCGTGGAGAGGAACGTACCGCTGCACAGATCACGGTCAGTCATCTGAACAGAGGCGCGTTCCTCTTCACAGCCGCCAGTGACAGCCAGCAGCATGAGATGCCATAGCGACCCAGGCAGCCTGCACAGCACCAGGGATGTCCTGGCCGGGCCCCCCCTGTGCCCCGGGCCCCATAGCGGCCGCCTGGGTTGCTATGGTGATTGTTACGCCACTGCATGACCTGTATATGAATGAGAACCTTCACAGATTTATTAATGCTGGTTTCACTCAGCAATTATCATAGCTACTTGCTGCAACTTACAATAAGGTTTCATGAAGAAAATGCAAACTCTAATCATATGTCCACCTGATGCTATTTAGGGGAACTCCTGGCTCAGAACCACTGACAGTCGACTGTTTTTACTCTGCTCTCGGGCAGCTTTAGGCCTACCAGTGCTAGGGTTTCTTCAGGGCAACCTTGGGCAATGATTTTTTTGTAAAAAAGAATTCTGAGCCAGGCTCTGTCTGCACATCCCAGTCTGCTTTAAAATTCACAAGGTTTCTGAAGGTAGTCCAGGTCTTGCCAAGAAAGCAGAACAGCTATGCAAGCCGTAGCCTCAAAGCTAATCATTGGTTTTCTAAAAAAAAGGCTCATCAACAACAGAATTGCTTGTGAATAGGTTTTCTATTTTCTGCTTGAAAATATTTTCAGTGTTTCAAAACCATAATGCTCGTTAATGGATTACATAAAACACTTGTAAGAGCAGAGTATGGATATGCATTGTTTTGGAAAGCTTATAAAGGACATCTTTCATTGTGCTGCAAACAATATGCTGCAAAGGTAGTGAGTTGTCAAAACTACAACTGCCCTTGAAGGTTTTAGGGTGTTTTTCTTTTTTTGTGGCGGATCGCTGTTAACTTTCACCTTCTACGCCATTAAATCCTTCTCTTTCTATATAAATTACTGTCTTAGAATCTTTATGGTAATATCTACAAAAAATGCAAGTGAACTAAGCCTTAAAGCACCCTTGAAGAGAGCAATATGGGAGCTGTTAATTATTTTTTAAGGATGAAGGGTTCCAGGACTTTGTTCATCTTTATTTTACTAAGTGAATAAGTAACATGCATGCATGAGGCTGGGAATATAGACTTTGCTGGCTTTATGCTTATTAAAGTGACTTTATTTGTGAAACCAGAATCAGGATGCCATGCCAAGGGAAGTAAAAGTTAAGACACACAGTAATCACGGCATGCTTGCTTTGTAAATATTACCTCATCCAGTTTAACCATGTCAGAAGATGATGAAGCAATTGCCGTTTGTCCTGACTTCTCATACAGCCGTTTCACAGTTTCCAGCATCTAGAATGAGTAGTATTATCTTAAAGCAGTCATGAACAATAGACATTGCTGAGTATAGGTCTCAGTTTGGGAATATTATTGCGAAAATGACAAGTTCCTTTATTCTAAGTGAGTAAAGTGAAGGACACATAGCAAACATAAGAATTTTAGGGCTCTACACGAGAGCCAAATGATACAAGTAAACAAATGTAATTATGCCAGTGTTCCAATATGCCAGGTGTTGCTCACCTAAAATCTAAGATGGAATTCTTCCATAAGTGAAAAAATCCTAGAGCAATTCAGACTGCACTTTGGTGGTAGGTTTTATCATATTATGGTTAATTTACTCCTATGATTCTCTGGAAACTGGTAGAGGATCTGGTTCCCAACACAGTGGGGAGAGAGCTTTTTGGAAAATGATAGCATTACCAATGCTACAACAGTTTTTATCACCTGATCAGTCTTCACCTTTCCATAAGTATACTGACATGAGCTGTGGTTGAGGGTTGCAATCTGCTAAGGTACCCTTGGTTAGAATATGTTTAATTCAATGCAACCCACAGCATGGCTGGACTAGTCTACACAATATGACAGTTTGGACAGTTCCCAGGTTGGTTTACTCATTTTTTCTGTTTTGCCTACTATTAGATAAAATATTTTTGCCCTTATTATGCAAGGTGGGTATAAGAGTAAAAACCGATTTGGGCATTTCCTCTTTTGTTTCCCGTTTACCACTTTTCTTTTAGTTGTTAGAAGCTTATAAATAAGCACATTTAAAAAAAATATATTTTTCATTGGCTCCTACTTTCTACCTTCTCAAGTTTTAGAAAAAGGTTAAAAAACAAAGTATTTCTGGCAACCAAAGATTTTTGCTGGAATTTCTCGGCTACAAGAAGGTCTATTACCTGCAAAACCCAGCAAACCATGTCTTTCTGAACCTCCAATTGTGTTACCGTTTTCAGCTTGTCAAGAAGGGACACAACACTTGAAGCACTTGGATCTGAGCTGCCAATTCCTGCACAGACAAATGACACATTCCAGAACATGAGAAACAATTTGAAGTGTGCAGAAACCCGGATACCCACTTCTTCAATTAAAATGAACCTGTGAGAAATACTGTAGCTGCCATGTGCAGGATGCAGGGCTGTCATCCTAACACAAGCTTCACTGCCTAATGAGTCAATGACCTGGAACAAGCATGCAGGAGGAATATTTAGACTTCACTAGCTACATACTTATTCTGTCAGTGACTCAATAAGCAGTGAGACAAAGATTAATATATATGCATATCTTTCTAAAATTTCCTTTCTAAAACCATCTTCTCCAATACAGCACTTACACAATGTGAAATGTTCTCTTTGAAAGCACATATGAAGCAGACAAATGCCCAGTGGGTATTTTGAATAGTTTTATCAATGTGTAAAATAAGGAATGTTTGAATATGTTAGAAGAGAACCAACCATAGTGCAGAATAATCTAGAATCTGAATATTCAGTCCTTAAGTATTATAAATGTGCATGCTTACTTATGAAATATACATATACTGTATGTGTGCCCCCTTTTTTAACATTACTTAAGTGAAGTTTTACTCTTGTTTAGAAGTCATCTGAAGGTTGATAACTGCTGCACTGTTAATTGTCACCACACCAACAGTTTCCTAGTTTATTAGTAAGTAAAGTTAGGCCATTTACAAAACAACAATTGTCAGCTTTAAGGAGGCCACTTACCCCTTCTCAAGCTGAAGTCTCAGACTCTAACAAAGTCAGTATAGATAAAAAGGGGGCAGATCCAAATCTTCACATAAGAAAGCTTGTGCATTATAAAACATATAATATTCAGATTCATGCATAAACCCAGTGAAGACTGGCTTGCATTAAATACAAAATAAGACATTTTCAAGTAGATGGCAATAGGAAAATGATTCAGCTACCACAGAAGACTAACAGAGAGAGGCAAAGTGCGGAGAAGACTTACTTGTTGCCTTGTAATAGAAATCAAATGTTACTTCTTCCTCTGCAGCCTTCTGAAGATGCCGCTTCTCTTCCATAAGTCCAAGAGCTATAATATGCAGAACCTGTATAGACACCGTAACAAAATCATATAACTCACTTTGGAGGAATTTCCACACGTAATGCCACAGGAAATCACCTAAATTCTTGTAGCCAAAGATGTGTTGTGCTCGGATTATGGAATACTAGAGACATAAGTCAGCAAGCTTTGGATAATTAGTTGTAGTGTTTAGTTTGTCTATCCTCTGATCAGGAATGTTGATAAGTACATATACTATATTACCAAAAGTATCGGGACACCCCTCTAAATCATTGGATTCAGGTGTTCCATGAAATTCCTTGCTACTAAACAGTCAACTGTTAGTGGTATTATAACAAAGTGGAAGCAACTGGTAACCAACAGCAACTCAGCGACGAAGTGGTAGGCCACGTAAAATGACAGAGCGGGGTCAGCGCATGCTGAAGCGCACAGTGCACAGAAGTCGCCAACTGTCTGCAGAGTCAATAGCTACAGACCTCCAAACTTCGTGTGGCCTTCAGATTGACACAACAACAGTGCGTAGAGGGCTTCATGGAAAGGGTTTCCATTGCCGAGCAGCTGCATCCAAGCCTTACATTACCAAGCGAAATGCAAAGCGTTGGACACAGTAGTGTAAAGCACGCCGCCACTGGACTCTAGAGAAGTGGAGATGTGTTCTCTGGAGTGACGAATCACACTTCTCTGTCTGGCAATCCGATGGACGTGTCTGGGTTTGGCGGTTGCCAGAATAGTACTTGCCTGACTGCATTGTGCCATGTGTAAAGTTTTGTGGAGGGGAAATTATGGTGTGGGGTTGTTTTTCAGGGGTTGGGGTTGGCCCCTTAGTTCCAATAAAGGGAACTCTTAAAGCATCAGCATACCAAGACATTTTGCACAATTTCATGCTCCCACCTTTGTGGGAACAGTTTGGGGATGGCCCCTTCCTGTTCCAACATGACTGTGCACCAGTGCACATAGCAAGGTCCATAAAGACATGGATGAGCAAGTTTGGGGTGGAGGAACGTGACTGGCCTGGCACAGAGCCCTGACCTCAACCCGATAGAACACCTTTGGGATGAATTAGAGAGGAGACTGGGCGCCCGGCCTTCTCATCCAACATCAGTACCTGACCTCAAAATTGTGCTTCTGGAAGAATGGTCAAACATTCCCATAGAGACACTCCTAAAACTTGTGGACGCCTTCCCAGAAGAGTTGAAGCTGTTATAGCTGCAAAGGGTGGGCCAACTCAATATTGAACCCTACGGACTAAGACTGGGATGCCATTAAAGGTCATGTGCGTGTAAAGGCAGGCGTCCCAATACTTTTGGTAATATAGTGTATATGTATAGAAAACACATCGGATTTTCTTGGGTTTAAGAAACAGCATTTCCTTGGATTCGTCATCACATTACACATATAATGATTTTCATTTTGCTGATAGTAATGGAGCTCTGTGTGCTTAGTAGCCCAACTCAGCCTTTCCCTGAAAAGATCACAGGCTTCCCAGGGCATTTCAAGGTATTTCCGCCGTATAGGTGATACACTCTATTCAGCATGTACTAGGTCTGTCCTGAGGTCTCCTCCCAGCTGGATGTGTCTTTGTTCCAATGGGAGCTTCCATGGAAACATCCTTATACCATATTTAACCTCCCTGGCGGTAAGATTCTTTTGATTTTTGTTAATTATTCAGCGCAATTTTTTTCCGGATTTTTTTCGTCATTTTATTTTTTTGTTTTTTCCGGTTCTTTTTTTCGAATTTCCCGCCGGTTCCACCCCCGTGCGACGCATACGCTCGCAAGGGACGGAACCCGGAAGACAGATGCTGGCGCCAGCCGGAGGATACCGCACGGCTCGAGGGACAAGGTAAGTAAATACTGTGGGATATTCCCGAGTGTAGCTCAGGGTATGGAGCAGTAACCCTGAGCTACACTCGGGAATACCGCCAAGGAGGTTAAACCACTTCAGCTGGTGGCTGTGAGCTTCAAATACCAATATTTAGAAATGTATATCTATATTAGTGAATGTCTCATCTAGTTGCACTGCACACGTAAGTCTACGGATCCTGAGCATTGTGTTTGCACTTTCGGTTTTTATCCACAATACGTGATCCATGGGCGAGGGCAGGATCAGCAGATGTCTATAAATGCATCTCAAAGCAGTTTGTACATTTAAAGCACAAAATCTAAAACTGCTATACGTTACAAGAAATTAATATTTCATTTAGAAACATAAAAATAATGATTACATGCAGTAATTAATAATGTATGCACAATTAATGGTTAATAAAAGAGTTCAGAAGAAGAATGTGTATGTACAATGAGACCACTATACCGTCTGTATCATGCCTTCAGTCCACATTGTTGGATCCTCTTCTGCTGCCCTCTGCAGGATGGTCCGAAGAATGTGCATCATGACGTCACAGCACAGGAGCTTGCTTACATTGTGGAAAGCTGGACTGAAGACTGGCGGAGGAGGTGGTGGTAATGCTGTACAGAGCATAAAGAAAATAGCTTACGGTACTGACTAACTGTATTATAGAGTTCTATGTATTATATTTCTGTATTTTAGTGCAGTTGCCTATGTGGATATCTCATTAGTACATCCTACCTTCAGAGCTATTTTCTTGTTTCCGTCTTTTCTTCTGCGTGTGCTCAGCCTGTATGAACAAAGATTGACACCTTTACTGCTAAAGTCAATGTAATAACAATGTAAAATGACAGCACTACATTGACTCATGATTCACTTTCACATAATTATGAGGTGGTATTTCAACACAGGACTTACAGATTTTCATGTCTGGGGGTAATAAGCAGGTTTCTAAGTAATAAGAATTACAACACTCGTATTTTTTGTTTATACACAAAGTACAAGAACATTAATTTTAAAATGAAATACAGAATTTAATTAGCATAGTTTACAGACCCAGAAAATAAATTTTCAGCAGTCAGTACTGCTATGAATACTAGTATCAGATTAAGGCCTTGTGCACACAGGACTAGTAGCTGTGGCTTGCAACAGAAATCCCCGGTGGGTCAGTACAGATGCTGTGCCAATTCAAGTGAATGACAGGCTCACAATGGCCGCATCTGTCTGCGGCTGTCCACTTGTACGGGCAGAGAGACAGCGTCTGTATGGACCCACCTGAGATTTCTGCCACAAGAATCTGCAGGTTCTTGTCACAGAAATCCTCAGTCACAGCTAATAGTCTTGTCTTGTGTGCATGAAACCTTAGTGTGCTGTGGTGCCTACTAATTTCTGGTATGTCAATAAAATAAAAAAAATATAATAAATGAAAGTAAATGGCTGATTTTTGTTTGCTTACCTTACTGCGCTGGGTCTTTGTGTAATGATAGAAGAAAACATTGAACTGGTCAAGGTACTCCTCTTTTAGTTCATAAACTCCATGACCTGATACTCCTGGCTTTCTAAATGTAAATAATGAGATAGACTCAGTGAATATTATTTTTTTACAAATTCAAAAGAAAGCCTCAGTGAGATTTTCATAGGGTTCCTGGTCTATGGAGCTTGGTATCTTCTCACATGCACCTATGGATCCCCTTCTTCTATCTTTTTTTAAAATTTCTTCTCAACTCTCTATTCAAAGGAATGGGTAGAAAAGATGTTTGCTGGGGCGAGGAGGAAACCTCTAACATGATCTGTTTAGGACAACCTTACGCAGGGAATATACCACAGGACATCGGAGACTCCAAATTAAGCTCTGCATTTCATACAAAAAAGTAAAATACAGTGTGCAGAGCGGGGGCACCTTGGGTTTCATAAACAAGTCCCTGGATCAGTGGCAGGGCATCCATTATTCTACATGTTATCCAATGAAAGTGCAGCCAAAAATGCTTTTTCTGGCAAAACCACCGGGTATGCGGAAGGTCACAGAAGGGGACTTTACCGTCTATTAATCGCAATTCAAAGACAAATTAATATTTTGAAATGTATTATATCCATATTGATTTAAACTGCATTTGATTACCAAGTGGTACATAAGCACAACATGCCAAGACTTTCACAATTTTAAGCTTTTGCACTTCCATACTTAGTATACGTAGTAATAAATATACGGATTAGTAGATTAGTCCCCAGAGGGATCTCTCCATGGATCAGTGCAATTCCTCTGTCTCTCAGTACTACTCTGCAGCACTACACTAGGGTTATGAGCTAGCTGAATCACTGAAAACAATGGACCCCCTTGTGTTGCTGATATCATCTTCTCTCACTAGCTGTGAGGAGAGAGACAGAGGAATTGCACTGATCCATGGAGTAATCCCTTTGGGGACTAGTCTACTATATAGATATAGATCTATCTATATCATAAATCAACAGTTATGGTTGCTCCAATATGTGTGTGTACATTTCGTAGATGTTAGATTCACGAAGAGATATACAACTTGTTTTATAACTTATCAATGACATATACCCTTATCAATGACATATACCGTGAGTGGCCAGATTATTATGACCACCCCATCAGTACTTCGTTGGGCCACGAGATAACTCCACGAGATGACTTTGTTGGGCCGCCTCGTGACTCCATGAGATGGTGAAAGGTGATGCGAGGAATCTGACACGGCACTGTTGCCCTTCTGTTGTCTTGTACCAGTCTTGCCACTCTCCGTTCTGCCCTCACATTGACTAGTCGCTGACGGCCACAATTCGCACGTTCAGACCCAGATTTTCGGCTGACAGTCCAGTCTTTAATCACTTTAACAACAGCTGCTCTTGAACATTTAACGAATTCTGCTGTTTTGCTGATACTCGCTCCATGGCACAGAGCGCCAACAATCATCCCACGTACAAGGGCTTTTAAATCGCGTTGTTTACCCATATCTTCAGAAGAAAATCACTTCTACTGTCGTGGTAAACAACCTGCTTCCCTATTTATAATGGTTTGGCCCTCTAGCAATTTCAGCGCGAAATTATAGCTAATTATAGCTAATTTGCCTACAAACGTCAGGTGGTCATAATAATCTGGCCACTCAGTGTAATTTACAATATGCATTGCTAATTATATTCCCTTCTACAGAATTTTTTTTTTATTCGCTTCATAATGGTGAGTGACTTACAGGTGTTACATTCACATATTTTACATCACAGATTAAAAACACATTGCATGCACATGCTGAAGTACAGATAATTCATCTAAGGCCCGGTTCACACCTGGGCGTCTTGTAGCGCGTTTGAACGCTCTGCAAAACGCTCAAACACCAAAATCCCATTATTTCCTATGGGTATGGTTCACACCTGGACGTATTACAGGCCGTATGAACGCGCTACAAAACTTCCTGCGCACAAAGAAGTACAGGAGCTTCTTTGGGGCGTTTTTGTCGCGTGTTTCTATTGGGATACAGCCAAGTAGCCCTCGGAAACGCGCGTTTTTTTAACCGCGAACCGCGGTAAAAACGCGTGTCACGAAACGTGCAACAAACTCGCATATTCGATACGCCTAGGTGTGAACCCAGCCTAAGGGCTGCTGTGGTTTCTGTAAATGATGCACATAAATCAGCAAAATGCATACTTTAAACAGAGTAATTCTCCTTGGAGCCAACAGCACCCTGTCAAATATAGCACCAGCTCTACAGTGGGGCAAATATCCATGCTGTATGAATGGGAGTATTTCTTATAACATTGGAAAATAAAGCTACAGTGTTACTAAATGGCTTAATTAACAATTGAATAAAGTCTGAGCAGCACTAAAACACTCACTTAAAATTGGCCACTTTGTTGATTAACGTATCCAGGCAAATGTCAGTATTTTCCTTAAAAGAAAAAAAACAGGAATTATGAAGATGACAATAAAAAACAATCTCACTAGTAAACAATAGAACAAAGTATTTGGACTTTTCACAGAAGAAACAGTACTTTTGTAATGTATGCCAATGTTACGTTACATGTTTTTCATTACTTTTATAACGAGGTTAAAGTAAACTTGTCATGAGATAACATGGTGGCTACCAATGTTGATCTCCTTCTGAAAATGAGTCAGAACTCCTGATATGAATACTTTTTAAAGCCCGTAACTCTGAAAGTACGGCAGTGAGAGCCTTTCATAGGGTGAGTATTACAAGCATACATATTTCTCTCATGGCACTTTATGTTACATTTAACTACAGAGTTGTTTTTTTATACAATTTTAGAATCTGTGGAGGTATTGAGGAATGTTCCCTCTACTTGTCTCAGTGACAGCAGTTCTAGCCTTCACCCACTCTACTGAAAAAAAAATCATTATTGGATGTTTTCTCTCCCTTCCTGTCTTGGTGATAGCTGGGACAGGATCTGATGATAAATCTCTCCAGCAGATTCACAAAAAGCAGTAAAAACCTAACAGGCATTCCCGAGCTCTGCAATGATCATAGCGATTGAAAAAGGCTGAGACAATCTAGTAAACTGCCAGTCAGAAGAGAAGGAATTATTTTTGTGGCAGGTTACTCTGTGTGAATATAACACTATTGGTCAAGCAATTGGCATATAAGCTTACAGTATCTGGCAAAGCCTTGGCAATGGCACTGTGAGCCATTGGTTCAATGCAGAGCAGGTGGATGATCTCTCTCATCATGCATTCTTCTTTTGTGATATCACTAATTCCTGGCACATATCGTTCACCTGAAAGGGGAATCAAAAATAGAGATTTACAAACAACTTTCATGCAGAATACTTGCTTCAATGTCCCCACTTCTGAATCTGGTTTATTACATTTATTAATGACATTCACCTAATAGGAACTGTTGAAAACTTTTATAGGCTTTCAATGGTCATTTAAACCCTTTCTGAATCTTTTACATAGGAAAGATAGCAGTGAAACGGGGGGCAAAAGCATTCCAATTAAATCTGAACATTGTTGTCTCTTACAAATCAAACATATTAGATAGAAATGATGCAGAAACACACAGCCAAATCATGAAATGTGTTCATCTAACCAGAATCTATTTTTTTGACACACCGCTTGCTATCAAACATAAAAACGTAAAAGGTACTGTAGGGAAACTGGAATTCATGTGACCCCTTACCTCTTCTGCCTACGATATACAACTCTTCACAGTGAACCCAGTTAAAATAAACTGAACATTAGGGGCCCATAAACTTCCTATTTTAAACATAGAGGTACTCTAGGGAAACTGGAATTCATGTGACCACCCTCACTTTTCTGCCTCTGATATACCACTCTTCACACTGAACCACAACAACATGAACTTAAAGGGTTAGGGCTTTTCCCCATAGTTCTCCTAATGGTAACGGGATGACACAAACTAGCGTCCTCCCGTCACCCTAAGCTCAGTATACCGCGAGTTACACGTGCTGCCCGGCTTCCTGATTGGTCGGGAAGCTGGCTAGGTCACGAGAAATCATGGAGCTGGCTTTAAGGCCAATCAGGAAGCCGGGCGCCATGTAATTACGCGGCGGCCGGCTTTCTGATTGGCCGGGAAGCTGGCTTCATGCTGCCTCGTCACCTCATGATGAGGGAGCATGGAGCTGGCTTCCCGGCCAATCAGGAAACCGGGCGATGCGTCATTACACGGCGCCTGGCCAGAAAGCCGGCCACCTAGTGACGAGAAGCATGGGGACGGCTTCCCGTCTAATCGGGAAGCCGGGTGGCGAGTCTTCACACACTGCCCGGCTTCACATCTAATCAGGAAGCCAGGGGTCGAGTCATTACACACCGCCTGGCTTCCTGAATGGGACTTCCGGTACTCGGTGTTGGCAAGTACTGAACAAAAAATATCGGTACTAACACTCGATACTGAAATACCGGTATCGGTGCATCCCTAGTTGTCACCTAAGGACAGGAAGTATGTTACTGGCAGAAACAATAGGTAATAATAAATGTAAAAAAGAAACGAAGGTAGCCACCAAATCTAAGGACTTATCCAAGGACTTATCAGGCTGCAATACATTATTTTTTAAACTTAGAGCCACTTTAATTATATAAAACCACATATCAATGCATTTATACCAACCAATGATACAGATCAGTACATGCAGCATCTCCTCAATAAGTGTGTTCCATTGTCTTGACAAGTCCTAAAATATACAATAATTAAACAAATAAACAGTAGGTGATTTACTTCTGCAGGCAGACACACAGGCAGACAGACAGATATCTCACAGAAATAATTAAAAATGATTTGCCATTGGTTAATAAAGGTGGCTGCACTATGCTCTTTTACATTAATAAAAGAAAGCATAGAGTATTTTTAGTGAGCACACATTGAAAGTTACTATAGAAGTGTTTACCTTACAGCAATTTTTCTATAAATCTAAAATATAAACACATAATATATTACATTGTCATCTTAGGTAATGCCAAATAAACCAGCCCATAGCACAAATGTAAAAAAGACCACAATTTTAAAATATACAGTATTATGATAACCGTATGCACTTAATATGTGCAGCCATTGTTACCAATGCAGTATGACCATTCAGTCATTGTTACCCAATACTTTTGACATTATACCTACACACCTAACACATACAATACATACTGAACATAGAACACAGGCAAACATAAACATTTACTTAAACACGTATTACTCATAGACACATGCTCAATAGGTGTGGGGCCATATCCCAGAAGTCTGGGGCCTGTCTATGGTCCATGGACTATCACTTGTTCAGCAATTTCCTAATAGGTCAACCTCATGTGAGTAAAGCTGTCGTATAAGTTCAAGAACCATACCATGTCTTTGGTGGGCATCGAAATGTTTGAGAGGGCTTCTGCAAGCTCATATTTTTCAAGTACCATTAACAGGAAGTTGTTTGGATCCATGTATGAAGCACCAATCTACACAGATCAGATTAATCATTATAAATACATAAGAAAAGATTTCCGATCGCAGTGAAATTCTGCTATATAAAATACAATTGTAGTAAATCGTTTTCCCATTAACATAATCTTATTCAATAATGGAATGCTCTGACGGGCAAACTTTCCCTATAGAAAGTATCACATGGCTTTAGTGTTGGTTTCAAAGTTGTCACTGAACACAGGAAAATGACTGCTGTGGACACCATCTGAAAGAATTCTACAAAATGCACTGTCAATGTCAATGCCATTTCTGCATAGCCAATACAAGGATGTTTTAGAGTCTTGCACTGGCTCAGGTATCTGAACATGTAGAGCAGGTATGAGGCAGGCACAACTTAAAGTGACATTAAACCCTCAGATTTTTTAACATAAACCAATCCTGTAATGTGCGCCTTACTGTAATCCATGGTTGTTTCCCTTCTCTTTGCTGCTCTTCCTTTTAAATCTGTATCTGTTCTCATGCTGGGCAGAACTTCTGTTTTGCAGCAGACTGCCTTGTCTCAGGAATGGATACACGGTATCTGTGTCTACGTTTTTATAGGCTTGTAACCTGAGCCAGCACTACAGGAAGAGGCACTCAGCTGCAAAGGGAAGTTCTCCCCCAGCATGAGAAGACATGAGGATTTAAAAGGAAGAGCAGCAAAGAGAATTGAAACTACCATGGATTACAGTAAGGCGCACATTACAGTATTGGTTTATGTTAAAAAATCTGTGGGTTTAATGTCACTTTAACTGACTGGGGTCATGTGGTACCATACTATTGTAGACCTGTTTGGAGCAGGACTTGGCTTCAACATACTATACTTGCAAATTGTGCAAAGAAGCTTTTGCCCTGGTTGATCCAAAAGGAAGTATATAAACTTTATAATGCTATTCCATATATTCACAGCCCTTAAACCCTCAAACTTTTCTCAAGGGTGAATAAGTTCGGTTAGGTTCTTCTTATACCTCTGATTCATACAGCTGCCTTTCTTTACCCTTTTGGTAAATTGTTACTAAACTGAATCGCATACTTTAAATAAGGTTTTACTGATGCTATGTTCAGTGGTCTCTCCCCTTGACTGACACCTATTTATATCTTTGGATTTTGGATACTGATTTTTTACTACAAATTCCCATCATACAGACGAGTACAATAGTTCTCGCATCAAATATTGACAAGTTTTCCATACCTGCAACATGATAATGTCTTTATCATACATTTCCTCCCTGCATTTGACATCCTGGTAGTAGTAAACCTACATTTAAAAAGAAACATATTTCAATTCAACAGAGAATAGGCACATCATAATATATTTAAAAATGAATTTCATCCAAGGGGACAATTTAAAAAAATAAACATATGCATTTTATGAAACAGCTTTTATTACTCACTGTGACATAATCAACAAGCATGTACAATTATTGCACAGGAACAGTTCCTATTGAGGTAGATATGCCCCCAGAACTACATCTTCCAAGAGCCCTTTCCCTACATACAGTGTGTAGGCAGGCTCTAGGTTGTCAAGGCAGAAAGAAATTAAACTATACATTTGGAATGGGAAAGAGATGGGTGGGGATTAGCGGGAGCTCTGTAGCTCTGAAGGCACAGCTGACATGGCTGCTTGCTATTTCATAACATAAAAGGCATGTTGTTGTCAGCCAAGCAAGACATTATAAGAAGGAAAAAGCCAAGATGCATACACTGGAGAGATGTACTAAACATGTTTTTCTTTCTTGTGCCCTGCCATACATGTTTAATAATATGCACGCTAAATTACTTATTTACAGATACAGCAAAATGACAGAGGACATGGCAAAGTTTTCAGGAGCAAGACTATTGTTAATTGTTATCCTCTACCTGACTAATAATGGTGAGGCCATTTCTCCTCCACATTTCAGCAGCCACTTGCCCGACTAACACCAGACACCGCAAAGGACTCTCAACGAGAAGTTCTACCTGGAAGTCTTTCTAATCGGTAATGAAAAATACGTCAGGAGATGTTAAGGTACATAACCCAGTAAACACGTAAGCAAACAAGATTGTTCAACACATTTTTTACTTTTGGAGTTTTTCTAGCCTTCTCCTGCTTCAGTAAAAAACAAAACCAAAAAAATAACAAACCTCTTGAATATAGAAAACATTAAACAGTTTGCACATAGACAAACTCAGAACGTCAACATCTGATATGGACAAGCAAAGTTCACAACTACTCACAAGGGGAATATGCTCATGCAGCTTTGTGATGACACCAGTTCTACTCATCTGTGAATGCAAGCCTAAAATAAAAAATTTAAAAACCCAAATTAGTTTTAATATTTGATAAATAACGGTGGATTTGATAAGCTCTACTAATACCAAATACCAATGTGTAAAAGCCAGTAAAGTGGCACAGATTGTTTTTTTTCGGGTTGTTTGACTCAGTTCTCTGAAGAAAGCAAAAGTGGAGGTGAAAGAATAGGTCTGCAAATAAGTGTGGGTGTGCCCTCCTCTGTTTTCTATGCATAAGTGAAAAGTAGGAATTTGTACCCACAACATGCACTTAACGCGGAGTTCCCTCCATTAATCTTTGTTGAACAAGTACATGGTGTTTACCGCCCCCTTTCTTTTCCATATGTTTTTTTTTTTTTTGTACAAAAATTAGCAAGCATCAACTGCATCTTATATTTATGTAAATGGTTGTAGCACCGTGCACTGTAACAATATTTGTGAAATGCAAGGG